AGGCAGAAACCCGAATGATACGAGGAAAAATTCCTTCAACCTCACGATGGTCAGGAAGATGAATGATAATGATGATGGTGGTGGAGGAAGACTGTAAACACGAGGTGATAGTGCCTCTATGGCTACCAGATACGCTGATCATGACCATCAATTACTAATATGTATAAACAGACACACACACACACACGCACACACACACACACACACACACACACACACACATACACGTACACACACACACATACACACACACACACACACAAAACACACACACACACACACACACACACACACACACACACACACACACACACACACACAACACACACAAAGAGGATCAATTCATAGCTTTAAGAAGAAGTATGATAAAGCTCATGGAGCGGAAAGAGTGACCAAGTAGCGGCCAGTGATGAGGCGGGGCCAGGAGCTGTGAATCGACCCCTGCAACTACAATTAGGTGAGTACAACTAGGTGAGTACACACACACACACACACACACAGAGGGAAGGCTCAGGTAATTCGACGAGAATGATTCTGGTAAGGAAGAATGGATGGAAGACCAAGGTAAAAGAATGGAACAAGAGTGGGAGAGCAAACTAGGTGAGTTTTCTGCGAAAATGAAGAAAAGGATGGAGGCAGAGCTTTCTGTGAAATTGGAAAAGAGGATGGAGGAGGAGATGAAGAAATGGGAGTCACAAGTTGAAGCTGCAGAAGCCAGGATATGGGCCCCTAGAAAATGAGGTAATTAGGCTGAAGCGAGTTACAGGGGTATTGCCCAGAGGAGACATAGCATCTGAAGCTGGTATACCCCTACTGAACGAGAAGCCCAACAGAAATGAAAGAGACATAACTTACACTAAGGCCCTATCAGCCCACCAGGCAGGGCCGAAGAATGAAGGGGGAGAGCAGTTGGGAGCAAGGATAGTAGTAAAGGAGGGGGGAGAAGGTGGAGAGGGGGATAGATCACTTGCAGAGGCACGACCATGCCACCACGAGCTACAGAAAAAAATAAGGGAGAAAATGGTCATGTACAAATGGGAACCAGGACACAGAGGGAAAGGCAATGGGAGGAGTAGAGGGAGAAATCAGTATTTATTCATGGGCTTTAGGAGAGTGAGTGGAGGACACACAATGAAAGATGGCAGGAAGAAAAACCATGAGATTGAAAACATCATCAAGAAATAGGTGAAGAGGACATGACTAAGATAATAAATTTTCAGGGAATAGGGGAAGTACTTGAAGGGGAAAATTTCAAGACAGAAACAGTGTGAATCAGGCTCCTGAAAGAGAAACCACTGCTGAAGAAATCGTCAACATACAAGAGGGTGTTCCTAGGCCGAGACAGAACAAAAACAGAACAACAGCAACTGAGGGAGAGGACACCAAAGCAAAAGGGGCCATGAAGAGAGACAAGGACAAAATCAGCAGAGGACAGCCAGAGCAGGGCAGTGCAACAAGCACAAGCACAAGCACACACAGAACCACCCCCAGAACTGCACTTCCATACGTGCTGTCCCAACACAAACCACAATCCACACTTACAGCCCCCACCCCACACTACACTGCAGAATCCTACAGCTCACTGCCAGGTCCCTCTCCCTCACAGACCCACAAAACACTGTTGGAGAGGAAGCTGAAGGTATGGTGCACCAACGCTTATGGAATAATGAATAAATGGGAGGAGTGGCATGAAAGAGTCAAAGAGGCATCACCGGACATTATATTTCTCACAGAAACCAAGCTCACAGGGTTGATAACAGATGCCATCTTTCCAAGGGGATATCAAAACCTGAGGAAAGACAGAGGGAACAGGAGGGGTGGAGGAGTGGTATTGCTCATCAAAAACCGATGGGATTTTAATGAGGTGGAGAGAGGAGACAGAGAAGCAAGAGATTACATAATAGGAACACTTCAGTCTGGAGATGCCAAGGTGGTAATTGCAGGGATGAATAACCCACTACAGAACAGCAGGAGGCCAAGGCAAGAGTATGATGAGAGTAATAGAGCGATGGTTGACACACTGGCTAAAGTGGCCAGAGGGGCTCATGTGAGCAGAGCAAAGCTGCTGATTATGGGTGACAGAAAAATCGATTGGGAGAACCTGGAGCCACTTGGGGGCCCAGAAACGTGAAGGGCTAAGATGATGGAGGGGGTACTGCAAAACCTTATGTACCAACACATAAGGGACACTACCAGAGAGACAGGAGAGCATGAACCAGCGAGACTGGACTTAGTATTCACTTTGAGTAGTGCAGATAATGAGGACATCACATATGAAAAACCCCTAGGGGCCAGTGACCAAGTGGTTCTGAGCTTCGATATACATAGCAAAGTTACAAGTGGAATGGGAAGCAGGATGGGCCAGACAAATGAAGCCAAACTACAAGAAAGGGGACTACGCAGGTATAAAGAATTTCCTGCACCTGTTCAGTGGGACAGAGAACTGGCAGGGAAGTCTGTAAACGAGATGATGGAATATATGACAATAATATGCAAGAAAGCTGAGAAGAGGTTTGTACCAAAGGGTAACAGAAATAACGAGAAAGCCAGGATGAACCCTTGGTTTACCAAAACGTGTAGGGAGGCCAAAACCAAGTGTGCTAGAGAACGGAAGAAATAGGAAGGGAGGCCCAACGACAATACGAAAATGACATAGCAACGAAAGCCAAATTTGACCCGAAGCTGTTGTACAGCTACATAAGGAGGAAAACAACAGTCAAGGTCCAGGTAATCAGGCTGAGGAGTGAAGGAGGGTAGGTCGCAAGAGATTCACAGCTAGCTCCATGTTGTAGATCATGCATACAAAACAAAGCTGGTGTTTATGCAACTTTAACTTTAGGAGCACACGGTGGCATGCAAAGTGACCACCAGAGTTTGCAGTGGCAGTGTCGACATTCATCCTTAGAACTTTTACACTTATTCTTCAAAGCTGCAAGCGATCGAATACTGCTTGTTACTGTTGTTGGTCACTTCCTTAAGGTATTACGAGCACTCTCATCTGCAAGCAACACTTTGACAGAAAGAAAGTCCACTCCCTTGTTATTGGTAATTGCCAGGAGAATTTTTCTGTCCTAGTGCACCAACAGTGATTCAAAATGGACTGATTCAACCTACTATCGCCTATGCGCTTGGCTGACATACACATAGGCTCACCTGAGACTCAGTTTCTCGAAGTTTTAACAGATGCTTCGAGCTGTTTCTGATACAATGTAAATAGATCATAATATTAAGAAAAGAATTAGACACATGTGCAACATTTGTTTCTTTATTATAGACGTTTCGCTTTATCAAAACAAATTCGAGTACATAACTGGTAGACAGTAGAACTATATACCAAAGATGAGGTAATCAGTCGCTCAGCCTTGGACTTGGTGAAGAACACCGTAGTGGTGAAAGGTATGACACTTAGCATTTCTCTGAGAAGATTGCCTGGTAACCTTCCCAGTTAATCAAATAATGATAGAATGTATAATCTATCAGAAAACATGCAAAACTCACTTTTATCATCTACAACATCAGAACTCACTCTAACTTCCTCACTGAAAATCCCGCCTTTAACACAGACTTTCTCTTTGACATTATAACTGAAACTGACTTACTGTACCAACTTAGATTTCGATTTTGCATCTTCACTAATGCTGCCTCACTCACCATATTTCCCCGTTTGGTCATGTTTCTTTTTTTAACATATACAATTGAAATCTTAAAAAATATCAAAGTCAAATATTTTTTCTAACAGGCAAAAATAAAAATCCTATACTTATTTTCTTAAAAGTTGGTCTGTCTTACTTGGAGAAAAGTCTGGATTAAATTTAGCCTAATGAGTCCAAATTTGCCTTTTTCTGGAAGAAATTTGAAAAAAAAAACTGAAATACTACTTATGTGGAATGTTAAAAATTGCCTGGATGAATCTCATTAGATACATACTAGTAATTTTATAAAAGTAACAAAGATAATTATTCTTTATCAAGGTTACAGAGTCATGTAGGAATTTTAGGACATGCTAGGTCGCAAAAAATGTCCTCCTTCGATACCTACTTCACTCATATCTCCACAAGTCACTCTGGACCTATATTAATTTCAAATGAAATATACATCACCACGAATTCTGGTACATTAATATCAATATGTGGACTGTATGTTAAATTTAATAAATGACTACATATACGCTGAAGGAGAATTTATAATAATAACGCTCATCAATTTGTCTGGAGATTACTTGATGTGTCATACACAAACCCCAGACTAAAATATGAAGAAAATACTGGCCAGAATTTCAACATAAATATAGACATCACCTGGGTTAATTTATCCTATTCCCATCTAATTACAGAGTCCTGTCCAGTTGCCTAATTCTCACGTTCTGCAGGACTGCAAATCCAACAATTTCGGCTCCTATTTGGGAGGTTTCAACCACAATTTAACTTCCAGAGCGACGAAATTTATGCACATTTCACTAGTGTGTCTTTGCCCAATTCAAAACAATGGCGTCTCTCCCAAGCGACGTTAACCCACCGTCGCTGGTTCATTTTTCCATTTACAAATTAATTTTTATTAACTACAATGTATTCCATCAATTTACATATAAAATACACTGTATTTTCGGAAAATATACAGTATTTCCCACAACTTATGCGATAATTTGTGTCGAATCTGATTAGCTTCAGAATACAGACTAAGTTAATAATACAGTTAAATAGCATTGAAGATCTGACGGGATTTAAAAAGAATTCCCAAATCATCATTTGGTAACTTGATGATGCAACTTTTATGATGTTTCAAGCTTAATGTGATTTTATATTTTAGGATATTAATGTCTTTGGTCTCTCTGGTTGGTTTGAATTAAATATAGGCTGTGATAGGCTGTGTGATAGGTTGTGTGATAGGCTGTGTGATAGGCTGTGTGATAGGCTGTGTATGTCCTAATTTTGCATTTTTATTGAAGAAAGCTGGATATTTGTTTCTAAATGATGATTTGTGAATTCCTTTTAATTCCCTTCAAATCTCAGTGCTAATATTTAACTGCGTTATTAACTCATGCTGCACTGAGGCACAGTGGGCTGGGGTTGCACAATACGGGGATGTCCATCTCGGATCACGCAGCCACCGAAATATATCTTTTTTTTTTTTTTTATAGAAAGTGTCTTTTCATGCCAGACAAATACAGCTGAAGAGACGAAGAAAACCCTTGCGATTTACAGCATTCCAGTGTATTCTAAACTTCTAAATGTTGAGGGTTTGAAACCGGTCGGTTAAAACATTCACCAGCTATCGCAAGTAAACCATTATTCCAGTTTTGCAATTTCTTCCATAAATTTGCCACATTGACACCTATGCAGCCCAAGATTATTCTGAATTTTCCTTAAGGTAAGATCCATCAACGTTTAAGGTTAGAAGCGGATAAAAAAAATTGCTCCTGTAGATATCGCCTGCGACTCTGGGCTAAAACATGTTTCATAAAACTGGCAAATGGGAACTTAAACGGGCCAATAACAATGCAAATGAGGCACTCTGGAGTTATTACACAGTATCTAACATTTTTAAAATTATTAACAATGTTGGTGAACTGGTAAATATACAACCACACAGTCTAAATATATAGAGAATCATCCTTTCATAACTTGCAACAGTCAACTTATGATGTTTAGATGAGTTATTTGGCAGAGACCTTTCCCCGTTATTGTATAAGTTAGACTGATATACTGGCAACTACAGTCCACTGTCAACTCACACCTTCTCCTTATTTTAATAATAATAATATCTTTATTTAATACAAGTACAAGGTATACAGTCCTAGTTGACAACAATGACATACTACTATAGAGAAAGCTGAGCATTTCCGGTAAATTAGGTCAGTTTTGTCCCAGGATGCGACCCACACCAGTCGACTATCATCCAGGTACCCATTATACTGATGGGTGAACATGGACAACCTGTGTAAGGAAACACGTCCGATGTTTCCAACTCTTCGCCGGGAATCTAACCCAGACATTCACCGTGTGAAGCGAGAGCTTTTGCCACCAGGCCACGGGGCACAGTGCGGAAACATTAGCGTCTGAAGTTTGAAGCTGATCAGAAGAAGCTTTCTACAGATATTGCACTGAAACGTAAATCTGGAATGGTTTTTTAAAATCCACAAAAAGACACATCCTAATAGTTGCAAGACACCTTTTTTTAGCTACGGTCAGTAACCTTGAAGAGTTGAAACTGATCGACTGAGGCATTCTCAAGTGATATGCGAAAATAAACAATGAAGAAAACGAAAAAACAAATAATTCTGTCAGTAACTTAATAGAATATCTTCGGGGATACACGTGTGCAGGTAAGAGAGAAGTGCTGCTGTAGACTTACTGCTGTTGTCAGGTAGATTCTCTTCACCACTACTCAGTCTAGCACTCGTAAGCTACCAGTCATTGCTGCTGTCGTCCTGCTGATGTTCAGCAGACTCTGCTCACCACAGCTCGTAAGCCAGCTGTCACTGCTGTTGTAGAACTACTGTACAAACTGTGTTCAAGCCTGGTTCATCAGACTCTAATCCACCGACAGGCCTGGTCATGGACCGGGCAGCGGGGTCGTTCACCCCCGGAACACTCTCCAGGTATGCTCTAGGTATACCACCACTCATTCCAACACTCGTAAGCTGCTGCTGCTGCTTTAGACTTCTATAGTGATACATAATTGAATATAAATCTTGCAAGCTAGTTGTAGCTGCAGACTCGGATCAATAATACAAGCAATGACAAGCAAGCAGCGTCACTGATATTGCGGCACACTGAATGGTCATCTCAATACGATATTATTCTGATTATTAACCAGGACGATTAGTGACTCAGTATATCGCAAGAGAGTCAATAGGCGTAGTTTATTTTCAATGGCATCCTGACGGCAAAGACTGTGTTTGGTAATTTTACAAGCATACATGCACTCAAGAATACATACACTCAAGCATACATACACTCACCTACGACTGTGAGCCAGATGTAGTGCCTCATGGGAGGCGTGGTGGACACTTGACACTCATACATGCCAGAGTCTCTCACTTGTGCGAACTTAACAGTGAGCGCCCAGTCCTCGGAGCCTGCAGTGTGCACTGCTCTGAACCTCTGGTCGCTGGTGTATGTGTACGGCCCTACCGTCAGCAGGTGTGTGTCTCTATGCCGCAGCCACGACACCTGTGGGAATACACCTATTAGTAAAACGAACAACGTTACAGTCTGGCGACTGTCATTACACCTGTGGGAAGGATACACATGTATTAGTGAGTAATTAATGTTACGCACTGGGTGACGCCTTGCAATCCTAGAGGAGCTGAGTGACACCTCGCAGTCCAAGAGGAGCTGGGTGACGCCTTGAAATTCTAGAAGAGCTGGGTGACGCCTTGCAATCCTAGAGGAGATTTGTGACGCCTTACATTTCTAGAGATGGGTGATGCCTTGCAGTCCTAGAGGAGATGGGTGACGCCTTGCAATCGTAGAGGAACGGGTGATGCCATGCAATCCTAGAGGAGCTGAGTGACGCCTCGCAGTCCAGGAGGAGCTGGGTGACGCCTTGCTATCCTAGAGGAGATTTGTGACGCCTTGCATTCCTAGAGATGGGTGATGCCTTGAAATCCTACAGGAGATGGGATTTATGGTTCTACAAATAGAATTTATGGAATATTTCTCCTCTGAAGTTGATGAATATATTGCACGTCTTCATAAGATCCTCGTGTATGTTACCAAAGCTAAATGAATCTTCTGACTATTGCTCACAGAGTTAGTGAAATGTTGGAACGTGTAATCTCGTGCGATTTACTTTTAAATACAAATTGATGCCCAAAAGGGTTTTAAAAACCTAAAATAACACTCAAAACGTTATGTAAAAATCCCCTCCCAAACCACAGTTATGAATCTTATCCCCAAACTAGTGAAAAAACTCTCAACATTTTTGGGAGAGACAAACCCTCGTTTTTAAAACCCTTGTAAAGATTTCTTGTAAGATTTGTATTCAGGAATCGTTAAAAGTAAGTAAATATTTTAAATCAAAAAGCTGTTATAACTTTAAAAGAATTTAGCATTTCCCGAAGTTTGTGTATATTAAGTAGGGAAATAAATGGTATAAAATCCCCGACACAATGGAAATATAAACACATACAGTATAATGTGATCCTTTTGAAACGTTTCGCCCACACAGTGGGTTTTTTAAAGTGACTAAAAAAAGCCCAGTGTGGGCAAAAACATTGTAATAAAGGATCACTTTATCATTATGTGTTTATTTTTCCATTTAGTATACTGAAAAACCAATTTGTTACTAAAAATAAAACATTAAATTAGGTTCTTTAAAAATAAAAATATTTTTTAAAAATTTTGAGGATAAAAAAAAAAAGATAATGATGTCATTTCAAATAACGCCATAAAAGAGAAACTTCGACGACGTTCGGTCCGCGGGGCCCATTGACAAAGTCACCTCAGGGGTGGGGGGGAGGCTTATATAGGCGGGAAAGAGGTGGTAAGTAGTAGTAGTGTAGTTAGTATTTTTAGTATAGTACAAGATTTTATAATACGGGGGATAAATTAAGAAAATGCACAAACCCGGGGGCACCCCCATCGTAGATTTCCCCATCCAGCCAGCCAAGGGGCGAAAGTCCAAACAAAGACACCCAAACCCCCCCCCAATGTGTTTTTAATTTCAACGTAGTTGTGAAAGAAGAAGAAGAGGTAGTGTAGTGGTACGGAAGAAGGGGGGAAAATAAGGAAAGCGAGCAGTAAAATTTAAAAAGGGAAAGGGGAGGCACTGCAAAGGGAGATACCCAGAGGGAGGAAGCGCACAGAGGTGCGTAAAAGGGGAAAAAGTGGTGAAATAAAAAAAATAAAGGGGAAAAGAAAAAAAAAAACACGAGACAGGGAGAGGGGGGGGAAAAAAAAACAAACCCAGAGGGGGAAAAAGAATTGAAAAGGGGAAGAGGAAGAAGAAAAAAAGAAAAAGAAAAGTGGGGGGTTCAGGTTAATTTTTTCCGGGGGTTGTTCTGGAAGTTTGGAGCATTTTTTACAATGTAGTGGGGGAGAAGGGGAAGGGGGGCATTTTTCAGAAAAGAACCCCGGGGCTAAGTTATAAAGGAAAATTGTAACTTCAAAATGGAAAAAAACCGCAGGTTTTTTTATGTGGGGGTTTATGGATTTTTCCAAAAAGGAATTGTGTTTTGAAATTTATAAATTTATAATAAAAAATTTTTAAAAAATCAATAATTATATTTATAAAAAAAAAATTGTTATAATAATATTTTTTTTAATTTTAAAAATAATTTTAATATTAAAAAAAAAAAATTTGACAAAAACTTTTAAGGGGGGGGTAAAAATTTTTCGAAGGGGAGCGGGCAAATAAACTTATTTTAAGGGCAAAGGGAATTTGGGGCGGCTTAAAATTATCCGCAATATAAATTTTTAAAAAAACCATATTACACAATACTAAACCACCCTTTTGGTTTTAAGCCGGCCCATTGGTTGTTTTTGAAATTGTGACATTCAATTTTCCCTTTTTATGGGGGTTTTTGTTAGTATTTTTGGGTTTTTTATTTAAAAAAAAATAAATTAAAAAAATTTTTTTTTAAATTTAAAAAAAAATATTAATTTTTTTAAAATTTAATTATAAAAATTATATTTATTTTTTATTTATTTTTTTTTTAAATTTGACCCTAAGAGGACAAAAAAAACAAAAAGGGCCCTAAACCATTAATAATAAAAATTTTAGGGCCAAAATTAAATGCATGATAAAATATAAAAAAAAATTTTGAAAAGAAACTAAAAAAAAAGTAAAATTTCGCGGTTAGGGTTTTAAGAGTTTTTAGTCAAGGAGATTTTAGGAGGAAAAAAAAAATTAAAGTAAGGGTTTTTTTAAATTATGTAAAAAGGGGAAAAAATTTAAGTAAAAAATTTTTTAGGGTTTATTTATTTAGTTTTATTGGTTTGGGGGTTGCGGGGGGCTGTTTTTTAAAAAAAGTGGTTTCATTTTCAAAATTGAACCGTTTTGGTTTTATGTTTTTGATTTTTAATGTGGTTGGCCCGAAAATCAAGGTGAGGTTTGGGGTTTTTATGGAGTGCTTTGGGGGGCCCAAGGAGGTTTGAGGGGGGAAATTTTTTAAGGTTCTTGTTTAAATATCCCTAAAAGTATAAAATTTTTGGGGAAATTTTTTTTTGTTTTTAGTTTTGGGGTTTTGAGAGTTATTTCAATGAACCTTTTGGGGAATTTTCTTGTTTTTTTTGGGTTTTCCTTATATTAAGGGGGTTAAAAAGAGGGAATCCGGAGCTCTTTTAACCAAAACCCGTTTTTGAATTTTGGTTTAAATTTTCAAAATTTGTTTTTTAAAGTTTGTTTTTTTTATCAGGGGTTTTAAAATTTTCCCTTTTGTTTAAGTGGTTTTTTATTATTTAAGAAATTTTAAAAATTTGTTAAAAAATAATATTTTTAATTTTATTAAAGTTTTATTTTTAAATAATTTTTTTGTAAGGTATTTAATATTTATAAATATATTTTTAATTTTAATATAAAATATAAATATATTTATAAAAATATATATTATATATTATATATATATATATATATATATAAAATATATATATAAATAAAAATATATTTTTATATATTATAATATATTTATATTATTTTATATATATATATATATATTTATTTTATATATAAAATTTTAAAAATTTATTTATATTATAAATTTATATTTAAAAATATTTTAAAAATATTATTTTTATATTATAATATAATAATATATATATACATATATATTTTTATAAAATTTATAAATTAAAATATATATATATATATTTATATATATATATATAATATATTATTTTTAAATTTTATATATTAAATAATATATATATCATGTAAAATTATACATGTATAATATATCTGCATATATATATATATATTTTTAATTTTTTATTTACAAATATATATTAAAAATTATTATATTTATATATTTTATAAAATTTTTATAAAATTATAAATTTATAATTTTAAAAATTTTATATAATTTTATATATAATAGCAAAACAACCACTCTGAAAGAATAGAGAAATTCCAAGGTTTCGTGCTACCACTTATAAAGGAACTATAAAAGAAAAAGCATCCAAGGAAAGCTAATAAGGGGTCTGGCCGCCCCTCACTATCAGATCCCACAGGGTTTAAACCCCTGTTCTAGTAAACCATCATGGAAATTTTTTAAAACAAGGTTTGCTTACACAACCCTCCCAAAAAGAGCAAAAGGGTTCGATATGTTGATTTTTTTTGTGTTTAAATTTCCAAAAATTGAATACACCATTTCCTTGGAAAAATTAAATAGCTTAGCCCTTCTATAAAATTTTCTGTTGAGTTTGAAGAAAATAACTCATGGGCCCTTTTTTGATGTTTTAATTAAGGGGGAATAAAAGAATTAAAATTTTAAAATTTTTCGAAAACCCACAAAAACTGTTTCCCATGTCCGCTTTATTCCTCCCCTCAAATAGAGTCAAATGTCTGTTTTCTCCAATGTTTTTGAAGCTTTACGAATTTGTAGTCCGAGTTCATAGATGAGGAAAAATCCAAAAATTTTTGAATAGGAATGATTTTAAAAAAACCCAGAAAATGTAAATTTATAAATCTTTTAAAGTTTCTAGAAATACTTTTTACAATCCAAAAGGGGGCAACCGCCCTTTTTCAACAAAAATTGTTGGTTCTCCCTTACCCTGAAAACTTGGTTGTTTCCTTTTTTTTCTTTTGACTTTTTAAAATTAAAGTTTTTCAAAAATCTTGATACAGTAAAAAAATTTTGATAAAAAATCCCCCCCAAAATGTGATGATGTGTCTTAAGGTTTTCCTTTTAAAATTTGCGATAAAGTTTTTTAGGGGAAAAATGGTAAAAATTCCCAACTAAAATTAAAAAATAAAATTTGCATTAAACTGGCAAAATTTAAAAAGCTTATTTATTCTGTAAGGATTTTAACCCAATTTATTTTCAAAAAGTTGAGAAAGTGATCAAGAAGTCCAGGTCGACAGGGGAAAATAAATTTAAAACTTGTTTATAAAAACAGTTTTGACAATAAATTTAATATTCCTTTGGTTTATTAAATTTTAAAACCATTTTAATAAAAGAATTTGGGAAGAATTTAAAAATACCTGGGCAAATAAAATTTTTTAAATTTTC